CCCCCCCCAGGACAGATTTGAGGATCCACAGGACGGACATGGGAGACCCCAAGACAGATGTGGAGACCTCTGGGATGGGTGTGGGGATCACAGGGGTGGCAGGATGGACTTGGGGACCCCCAGGTTGGATGTGGGGACCCCCAGGACGAACATGAGGACCCCCCAGGACAGATGAAGGGACGCCCCAGGATGGGTGCGGGGTTCGAGGTGGTGGTAGGACAGATTTGGGGACCCCCAGGACAGACAGGGAGCCCCCGCAGCCCCCGGGACAGCCCCGGGCCCAGCTCTGGGGCCCCCCAGGAGCTTTGGGGTCTCCCGTGGGGGGTTAAATGCGGAGGTGCCCAGCCTGGAGCCGCTCCCAGAGCTCGGGATCCAGCGGGATGTAGGACTGGGAGGCCTCATCCAGCAGGAAGAGCGGGTCGGGAATGATCCCAGGATCAGCCCCTTCCTGAGCCAGACGGACCTTCTGCTGCTTGAACGTCTCCGTCATCTCCAGCTGCTCCTGGGGGGCACCAGCAGTGTTGGGGACCCCCCGGGACCCTCAGGACACATGTGGGGACTCCTAGGATGGACACAGGAACCCCCAGGAAGGACCTGACCCCCCTAAACCCTGTACCCCAGACACCAAATCCCGGGACCCCAAATCCCAAACCCTGGATCCCCATTACCTGTAGCTGGAGGAATCAGGACTCCAAACTCCAGCCCCCAAACCCTGGACCCCAAACCTCTAACCCCAAACCCCAGACCCCGATACCTGCACCCTGAGGAAGCGGGGTCGCGCGTAGGGCGGGAGCAGCTGCTCCAGGTGCTGGAACAGCCCTGGCCCATCCATGGAATGTCCCGGCTGCAGCACCAGCGCTGCCATCCCGGCACGGCCCTCGTGCCCTGGGGACAAAGAGGCACCATGGGGGGCTCTGAGGGCCTGTGGCGGGGGGGCAAGGGGTCCGTGTGGGGTCGGGGGCTGTGGTACCTGGGACAGTGACCCCATAAACGGTGGCTTCCTGCAGGGACTCGTGGGCCAGCAGGGCCTCAGCCACCTCCGTGGTGGCCACGTTCTCCCCCTTCCACCTGGGAGCGACAGGACGGGGGCGATGAGACCCCCCAAAAACCTTTAATGGGGCTGAGACCCTCCCAAAATGTGGGGTCAAGACTCTCCCCCAAAAGGTTTAATGGGGTTGAGATCCCCCAAAATGTGGGGCTGAGCTCCCCTGTAATTTTTAATGGGGCTGAACCCCTCCATAATATTTAATGGGGTTGAGACCCCCCCTCAAAATGTGGGGTTGTGACCCCCCAAAATGTAGGGCTGAGCCCCCCCCCTAAAGTTTAATAGGGATGAGACACCCCCTCAACATTTAATTGGGCTGAGCACCCCCAGAATGTGGGGCTGAGCCCCCCCAACATTTAATGGCACTGAGCCCCCCCATCGCAACTAATGGGGCTGAGCCCCCCATCACATTTAACAGGGTTGAGCCCCCCTGCCCACACACAGCTGTGGGTCTGGGGGTCCTGTCCCCCTGGGGTGGAGGGTGCCGGGGGATGCTGGGGGGTGTCCCCCCTCCCTGGGGGGGCGGTGGCACCTGAAGGTGTCTCCGGTGCGGTCCCGGAACCGCACGAACTGGTCCCGGTCCTGCTCCACCAGGTCCCCGGTGTTGAAAAACGCGTCGCCCTCGGCGAAGACCCCCCGGAGCAGCTTCTGCTCTGAGAGCTCGGGGGGGCCCGCATAGCCCAGGAACGGGGTCCGGGGGGTCACCGGTGCGATCAGTAGCCCCGTCTCGCCTGCAGGGAGGGGGCGGGTGATGGGAGGGACCCTCAGGACCCCTCCCAGCCCCCCGGCCCCTCCTCTCACCCGGCCCTGCGCGGATGCAGCGCCCGGCCCGGTCCCGCTCCGGGGCTCCCGCGGCCACGTCGAACCGAACGATCTCAAAGGGCGAGAAAAGCTGGGGAGAGGGGCGGGGACGGGGCGTCAGACCCCCGGGGAGGGGTATGGGGGGTGTAGGGGGCATGGACACAGGCAGGGTGGGATGGCAGGATGGACGTGGGGTCCCCCGGGATTGACCTGAAGCCCCCGCCCCCAGGACAGATGTGGAGACCCCCCCAGGACAGATATGGGGTACTCAGGGACAGCAGGACACACATGGGACCCTCCCAGGACACATGAGGGGAACACCCAGGGACACACACATAGGGCCCTCCAGGATGGACATGAGACCCCCAGGGATGGACACGGGGACCCCAGGCCGGACATGGGACCCCTGGGATGGACATGAGACCCCCAGGATGGACCCAGGGACCCCCAGGCCGGACATGGGACCCCCAGGATGGACACGGTGACTCCCTGCCAGCCCAGCCCACCCCCCTCACCTTGTAGATGAAACTGCCCCTGCCCACAGCCCCGGGGGTCCCAGTGTAGTTGAAGAGGGTGACATTTCCCTCGCTCATCCCGTAGGTCTCCACAATCCGGATGGGCCCAAAGCGCTGCTGGAAACTCCTCCACACGTCGGGTCTGAGCCCAGAGCCCACGGCCAACCGGAGCCCGTGCTGCCGCTCACCAGGGCGCTGCGGGACCACCGGCATCTCTGGGGGACGCCCCGGCTCTGGGGGGACCCCCTGGCTCTGGGGGAGCCCTCCCAGCACCCCCCCTTATCCCAGATCCCCCCGAACCTGGGGCTGGTTGACGAGGTACCGGCACAGCTCCCCAATGTACTGCAACACGGTGACGCCCTCGGCACGACAGTCATCCCAAAACTGGCTGGCTGAGAACTTCTCCCTCAGCACACACGTGGCTCCTGGGGAAACCCGGGAGGGGGGATCAGAGGGATCAGCCTGATGCTTTCAAATCTGGGTTACAGAGATTTTAGTAGAACTCTTAGCACTTTCAGTGGCACTTTAGCCAAGTGCTTTGGTGTTAGACTCCTTAACTGTTTAATGTTTCTTGTTCAGAATTCCAAGGGCCAAAGATTGTGGCAAGGCAAAGACACAACACTCTTAAAGTAAGACACAGCAGGCACGCCCCCCCAAACACCCCCCAGAACCCCCCCGAGGTCCCGGCCCCACTCACCGATGCCGAGGCAGCCGACGACGCCCAGGAGGGCCCCGGCCATGTGGTAGAGGGGCAGTGCCAGGTACACAACGTCCCCGCTGGAGGCTCCCACCAGCTCGTAGAAGCCCAGGCACATGATGGACTTGAGGTGGGACACGCAGGCGGCTTTGGGGAGCCCTGGGATGGGGACAGAGCGTTGAGACCCCCCCATTCCCCCAGCCTCCCCCTCGTTCCCCCCAGCCCGGCCCTACCGGTGGTGCCCGAGGTGAAGATGTACAGGCAGGTCTCGTTCATGTCCCGGGGCTCCCAAACGTCCTCGGGCTCCAGCTGGTCCGAGGCCGCGTCCAGCAGCTCCTGCAGGGCCACGACCCCCGGCGGGTACGGCCCCCGGCCCAGCACCCACACGGCCACCCCGTCCTCGCGCAGGGTGGGCAGGAGCGGCTCCACCGACCCGAACAGCTCTGGGGGGCCGGGACGGGGCCGTATGTGGACCACCTTGCTGCCCCCCGCACCGATCGGCCCACCCTGGTCCCGATCGATGATCCCACCCCCGGTGCCTCAGTCCCATCCCCAGTTCCATCCCAATAACCCCCATCCCCGGTCCCCACAAGCTTCCTGGTCTCCCTGTCCTCCTGGTCCCTTTTCCCCCGCAATCCCCGCTCCCCTCCCGTATCCTCCGGTGTCATCCCCGGTATCACCCCCCGGTATCCCCATCCCCGCTCCCCTCCCGTATCCCCGGTGTCCCCTCCCCCATATCCACTCCTGGTGTCCGCCTGGTCCCCCCAGTCCCTTTTCCCCCGGTGTCACCCCCGTTACCCCCCGGTCCCCCCAGCACCCCCAGCCCCTTTTCTCCCGCATTCCCCGCTCCCCTCCCGTCCCCCCCGGGTATCCCGCCGGGTATCCCCCTGGGTATTCCCCCCCGTGCTCCCGCTCTCACCGTCGCTCACAAGCACCGCTCTGGCCCCGCAGCCCCTCAGGCAGTGCCGGAGCCCGGCGGGTCTCAGCGCCGTGCCCAGGAAGGCCGGGCGGGCCCCGAGTGCCGCGAGCCCGAACCAGCCCCACACGAAGCGGGGCTCGTTGCCCACCAGCAGCCCGACCGTGTCCCCGGGGCCTGGCGGGGCCCGCAGCGCCCGCAGCGCGTTCGCCACCCGCGCCACGGCGCGGGCCGCCCCCCCGAGCGGCTGCGAGCCCCCACGGCCCCGCAGGAACGGCCGCGCCGGGGCCGCCCGGGCCAAGCGCAGGAACCGCGCG